AAAATGGAGAAGGCACAGATAGCATCAATAAGTGAAAAAAAAAAAAGAACAAGGATAATAGAATTCTGGGAAGAATCCTACTCCAGCAAATTTGAAAACATAGAAGAAATGGACAAACTTCTAAAAACACATGTTCTGTCCAAACTACCACAGACCGAGGCAGATAATTTGAAACAGGCCCCTAACAAGGGGAGAAATTGAACAAGTCATAAAGTTACCCACAACAAAGGAAGTCCTGGTCCAGATGGCTTCACTGGGGAATTCTGCCAAACGTTTAAAGAATTGACACCAATTCTACTCCAACTATCCCAGGAACATCAAAAAGGCATACTCTTGAACTCATTCTAAGAAATAAGCAGAACTGATGCCAAAGCAAGGTAAAGATACAATGAAAAACAAACAAACAATACAATGTTGTTGTTGTTGTTTATGTGCCATCAAGTCGCTTGCGACTCACAGCGACCCTATGTACAACAGCCCTAAACTCCTCTCTGTCCTGTGCCAGTCGCACTGTCTCTGACATTCCCATCCCGATTACCCCAGTCACTGAATCAATCCACCTCATAGAGGGCCTTCCCCTCCTGCGCTGTCCCTCCACCCTCCCAAGCATGATGTCCTTCTCCAAGGACCAGTCTCTCCTCACAACATGTCTAAAGTATGTTAGACAGAGCCTCAGAATCCTTGCTTCCAAGGAGCCACCCGGTTTAACCCTTTCCAGGACAAATCTGTTTGTTTTCCTGGCAGTCCATGGTATTCTCAATACTCTTCTCCAGCACCACAGCTCAAAGGCATCAATTCTCCTTCTATCCTCTTTGGTCATTGTCCAACTCTCTGATGCATAACAAGTGGATAGCAAAGACCATGGCCTGTATCAGATGTACCTTAGTCTCCAGAGAGACACCATTGCTCTTCAGTACTTTGGAGAGGTCCCTAAAAGCAGACTTTCCCATGGCAATGCGCCTTTTAATTTCCTGGCTGCTGGTGCCAAGACTGTTGACTATGGAGCTAAGCAAACTAAAGCTGTGTACAATCTCAATCTCTAGTGAATATCCGTCTTGATGCTGCCAGTTGGTCCAGTGGTGAGAATCTTTGTCTTCTTGACAATACAATACTCCAGCTCAATACTCCTCATGAACATAGAAGTAACAGTTCTCAACAGCATTCTTACTCTCACTGCCGTGCAGTTGGTATGGTTCATGGCTGACCCTCCAGTGGAGTTTTGGAGGCTGAAAACTGCATGGGAGGAGACTGCCCATCTTTCTCCCCAGCAGCCACTAGTAGATTCAAACCTCCAGGATTAGCGGCACAACCACAAAATCCTATCCAATAGAATTCAACATCACATTAAAAAAAAAGCAAAACCAAAAAGACAAACCATCACAACCAAGTGCGATGCATATGAGGTATATAAGGTTGGTTCAACATTAGAAAAACAATCAGTGTAGTGTATTACACAAATGAAATGAAGGAAAAGAATCACATGATTCTATCAATCAATACATACAGACATTTGACAAAATCCAGCATCCATTCCTGAAACAAAACTTTGAGTAAAGAACAATTAGAAGGGAAATTGCTCAACACAATTAAAGGCATGTGTATGAAACAGCCAACAGTCAACATTGTTCTTCATGGATAAAGACTGAGAGCAATCCTCTTATGAGTGGGAACCCGGCAAGGATGCGCTCTATTACCACTCCGACTCAATATTGTCCAGGAGTTCTAGCCAGGGCAGGAAGACAAGAAAGGGAGATAAAAGGGAACCAAATTGATAAGGAAGAAGTAAAGTATCCCTGTTATTATGTACTGTAGAGCCAGAACTGACCCGTAGCTGGCCCTCTGGCAGGTTTCAGAGCCAGTTAATCACACAGGGGGAGATTGCTCATCTTCCCACAGAGCAACTGGTGGTCTCTAACCACGTGCCTTCAGGATTGCCGTGCAGCTTCCTGCCATCAGAGCTCCTTAAACTATTCCTACTGAAGATCATAAAGTTCTATACATAGAAACCCCAAGAATTCTAGGAAGAAAAGTACTGGAACAAATGGAAAGTTTCAGCAAAACAGCAAGATATAAAAACATCAGGAGATTCCTCCCTAATAACAAAGAGAATGGAGACAAGGAAATAACACCACTTACAATAACCATCAAATAGAGAAAATATTTCAAGAATAAGCCTAAAAAGAGAGTTAAGAAAATCCAACAACACAACTTATTAAAAAAAAAACAACCACCACCACCAATCCCCTAAAATATGACTCCAAGAAACTAAGAGGCCTACACAAAAGGAGATGCACTGAGCTCACGTTTAGGAAGACTAAACATCGCAGTTGGGCGTATGCCATAAAGCACGGTGCTTCACATGCTACCACTGGAGACTTAATCTTAGGCCAAAAAAAAAAAGTGGGCCTGGGCTGTATCTCTTTCATCACTTGTTTTGATTGTCTTTTGTTATCTTAAACCCAATATTCGTTTATTTGATTGTGTTTAAAGAACCTTGGACATTTGCTGCCAAATAATCTCCCCTGTCTGCCCTCCCTGCTGAACCTACTCACATTGCTGTGGATTTTTAAAAGAAAAGCAGAACCAGAAAGAAATTACTTTTTCTGAGCCTCTTAAAAAAGTCAATACTACTCAAAATAATAATCTATAGTTACAGGGCAATTCTGATCCAAAACCCATCGATATTTTTTCCAAGGAGATGGAAAAAAATCAACCACTAACTTCATAAAGAGGAAGAGACCTCAGAGAAGCAAAGCCCTTCTGAAGAAGAACAAAGAACCAAGTAGGAAGTCTCACACTCCCTGATTTTACCCCCCAACTCTACAGAGCCGTGAGGGAGCTGGCTTGGTCAGCAGGGCGCTGCTAACCCAAAGGCCGTCTTGCTTTCCTGGCACAAAGATAGGCAATCTGCTCCCATGTGATTTACAGCCTTGGACGACATGCTGGAGAGCCAGTTCTGAGTCAGTTTTAACTTGACAATGAGTTTGAGTTTCTGAGGGTAAAGCCACAGTAGTTAAGACTAGTACTGGTACAAGAACAGACACATCAACCACAGGAACAGAATTAAGAATCCAGAAGTAATTCATCCACATATGGGCAGCTGATCTTTGATAAAGGCCCACAAAATAGCACTTTGATAAAAGACAATCTTTCTAAAAAAATGGCAAAACTGAGTGTCCATTTGAAAAAAAAAAAAAGAAGAAAGAAAGAAAAGGAAAAAAAAGAAACAAGATCCATACTTCACACTAAATATAAAAATGGATTTAAGATGGGTCAAAGATCTAAAGCGGGATCCAGTTCCTAAACAACTTGCCTCCAGAAACTATGAACTTTGATAGATGTCGATGGTTGTAGAGGGGCTTCAGGCCTTTTGTTCATAGGGTCACTATGAGTCATGCTTGATTCGCAGGCAATCAACAACAACAACAAAATAAAGATCACTAAAGAATAAAACCAGTAAACCGGAGGGTCCTAATTTAATTGTATAAATAATCTGTTAAAATAAAAACTAAAAAAAACCACACAAAACCAAAAACAAATCAAAACTCAAACAGCAAAGGATAAACTAGATGAATAGGACCTTCTGAAAATGAAAATCTTATGTGGATCAAAAGACGTCCCCAAAGGAGAGGAAAGAGAACTCACAGATTGGAGAATAGATTTTGCAACCTCATGCCTTTGGGCTGGCAGTGCAGAGGGATGCAAATCAAAACAACAGCGAGATAACATCTCACCCCAGCAAAACCAGCAAAATTCAGCGCTGGCAAGGATGTCAAAAGGTGCACTGCTCTGAGCCCATTGAATGGTACAACCACTCCTTAAAATGTTGGCAATATAAATTCTATTTGAACCAGCAATTCTATTAGTAGATAGCAAAAAAAGAGCTAGGTCAGGAATGGATACATGCATATCTCTGGTGGCTTAGTGGTAAAGAGTTGCCCTGCTAACCCAAAGGCACACAGTTCAAATCCACCAGTTACTCCTTGGAAGAATGATGGGCAATCGCTCCAGGACAATTACTGCCTGTTAAAACCTGCTGGAGTGTCAGCTATCAGTTGATTCTGACATGAAGGTTCATAACAACAACAACAACATATTCACTGCAACGTTATTTACAAACCAGATGAAAATTTGATCTCAAAGAGATGGAAACAGCCCAAGCGTCCATCAACAGAAGAATGAATAAACAGACTATGAAACACATGTACTATGGAATACTATGTCATGTTAAGGAATAATGTAGAGTTCACAAAATTTTGCATAACATGGATGTAGTCGAGGACAGAGCAAAATAAGTCAGACACAAAAGGTCTAAGAATGAGTCCACTACAATGGAAAACAAAAGTAAACAAGAATCTAAAGAAAAGTATACAACCACACGAAACAGTTGATGGTTTCCAGGGAGCGGGGAGAGGAGGAAGACTGTATAGTTTAGTGTGTTTATTTAGCTGTTTGAAGAACTTAAAGAACAAAAGCATGAAGCATGCAGATTTTTTTTTAAAAGAAGAGAATTTCAAAAAACATAAAGAAAAAGAAGGGGAAATGAACTCTTGGGTACAACTCGACTCATGATGACCCTTCAGTAGATCAGCTCATGGAGAGAAGGGAGGTGTCCCTGCAGAATGTCCCTTGCCTTTCCCTCCACGTGGTGTCTATGCCTGGACCCTTGCACAGGGAACGAGCTGGAGACAGGAGTGACAGCTGAGCTGGGCACGTGGCTTGGGATATTAATCGAAGTTGGACCTTTGGGTCACTCCCTATCTCAAGAGTGCTGTCCCTGGGCCAGTCCATGAATGACTGCTGTCTCAAGGGAAAGTTCAAAGGCATTGCCAGCCAGGAAAGGTGGTGGCCAGGCATGGTCACCCATGTGTCTATCAACCTTGTGCCTGACATCTAGCCACAGGGATGGTCTGTATGGTTTCTCTCTCTTTCTTAACAGGCCCTTGCACCACCAAGCTGACCACCATCTTGCATTTCCTGAGACCTGAGGGCCTGTGTACCTTGTCTCCTTGCTGTCCTGGAGGGCCAGCCTGCCCATCAGCACCGGCTTCTCCCTGGGAGATGAGAGAGATAGGGTGAGGGTATGCAGAGTGGCCCAGGCAGCTGCTTAAGGGGGCAAACAGGTTGTCTTGCTACTGCCTTTGGCCACTGTCTCTTTGCCTGCTGACTATTCATTCACAGCATTCCACCCATTGACCCAGAGACCTTCAAAAGGGAGGTATCCAAGATACTAGTTCCTGGAAAGGATTAAAGATCACAAGCAATTGAATCTCTTGAATGCTGATCCCTGGAGAAAACTCACCTTTGGCCCTGGAGGCCCAGGGAGCCCTGGGGGGCCTGGTTCCCCTCGGCCTCCTCCAATGGCATTGCCAGCACCGCCTTTTTCTCCCTAGGGTTGGAAAGTGGGGTTACCACTGTTGAGTCAGCTTTGCTTTGGAGGGAAGTTATTAGCTCCTTGCTTTCCACTTATCTGTCTTTTCTCCCCATGTCTGCAGGGGAGCATATCACTCTCAGTTTATATTCGGTTCCACAGGGACATGAAATGGTCAGTGGGCTCAGGATGGCTGCTGGCCAGAGTCCTCTGAGACCTGGCCAGTCTGGCAATGTTCTTTGAGAAGGGAATGGGGATCCTTGCAGAAGTGGACTGGGTTTCGAGTGGACATGGCCCATCAGGACCTGGGTCTAGAACAGTGTTTCCTAAGGTGTGTTCCATGGGCTACTCTGCCAGTGGGTTGGGAATATTGGGTCTGTAAATAGAAGATGTAGTGGCCAAACATTGTTAGAAAATTCTGGGTTAAACAAAGCTTTGTAGTCTCCTTTGAAGGAATTCTCAGAGCCTTTACAGAGCACTGGGACTTTCTAAGAGGGATTTATTTTGGGCAGCAGATCACAATCTTCCTCGATCACACACACACACACACACACACACACACACACACACACACACACACACTGTTTGGAGGGGCAAGGATTTGAAGCTCCATCTCACATATTTTGGGCATATTGCCAATAGGGACCAGTCTTCAAAAAAGGACATCAAGCTTGGAAGGATGGAGGGACAGTGCAGGAGAGGAAGACCCTGGATGAGAAGGATTGATACAGTGACTGTGGTAATGGGGTGTGTTCAAGATGATGAGGTTGGCTCAGGATAAGGCAGAATTCAGGGCTATCATTTACAGAGTTGCACATAACAACAACAACAAATATATATATTCCACATATGTACATTTCTCTAGGTCGTATAGCCCTGGTGTACAAGTTGCCATACAGCGGTCACTTGTGGTTGCTGTGAGGCTGAACACTGTGACACTGATGTGTCAAATGCAGTAATGGCTGGTTACCCAATGTGGACAGAGATTGGGGTGGAGCTCCCCGATTAAAACAAGCTTTAGAAGGAGGAGTGGCGTCCACTTCCATAATAGCTTGCCTCCAGAAACCCTATGAACCTGGAGAGAAGATGAAAGGCACCCAAGCATCGAGGATTCTCCTTCACAGGGTCGCTATGAGTCGCCTGCAACTCGATGGCACTTAACAACAACATGTACATATCTATGTATGTATGACAGAACAGAACTTCCCCATGGGGTTTTCTAGGCTGAAATCACCACATCTTTTCTCTAAAGCCTCCAGTGGGCTTGAATCACTGACCTTTTGTTTAGTTGCTGAGCACCTAACCATTGTGCCAACAGAACTCTTCACACACACACACACACACAGACTTTCTGAGTAGTGTCAATGTTTAATGTGCTTGTTTACTAACTGAAAGGTTGGCAGTTCAAGTCTACCCAGAAGCAATTTGGAAGAAAGTTCTGGTGCTCTACTTAAAAAACAAAACAGCCACAGAAAATGTGTGGAGCATAGTTCTACTTTGACACACATGTGGTAGCATAATCAGCAACTGATTATGGCAGTTGGAGAAAGATACACTTTTAATGAAATTGAAATTTGGAGTTAGGTTGCTATGGGATGTATTTTCTGAGATGGAGAGAGGAAATCTGGCCAAGTGATGGCAACTGAGTCATTTCAGCTGGACAGTTAGGGTCCAGGCTTCCCAGTGATACACCTTTTCCACCCCAAATAGAATCTGTCTTGCATGCCAGAGGTCCTTTCTCTCATCCAGGGGAGTGACATGGCCAGTGGGGGGCCTGTGTGAGTACGCAGGGCTGAAACTGGGCGGGGATTAACATCAGCCTTATCTAGGACCCACCTGAAATGTGCTGTTACCCACCTTCTGTCCCAGGAGACCAGGTAGCCCAGGGGTTCCTGCAGCCCCCTTCTCACCCTATGGAAAGGCAGACAGCACGGACATTGGGAATCACTTCTCTGGGGTGCCTCCCTTACTTTGGGTGTGGGATGGCCTGGCCTGCCTCCTCATCCCTTGGCAGTTCTCTGAAGGGCTCCACATCCCACATCCTATTCCTCCCTGGGCCACCAGCCAGGCCAAGTTTGAGGTTCCTAGGATGGAGAGAGCTGGTGCCATTGTTTTCTCTCATGCTAGTCCCTTACCACTCAAGCCGGGTGAGGGGCACACAGACCATGACAGAGGCTGTCTGTATCTAGGTTCTTCTGGGGGCTTCCTGGGCTGAGGGGACAAGGCCAGAATGCCAGTAGTTGAGGAAACTCTTCCCTTGAATCACTGCACTTTTTCACCATTTTACTTTCTCGCCAGAGGCCCTGTCTTTCCTGACCACCAAACCTAACAGAATTTGTCTTTTGGAGGAATCCTTTGAGAACTTTGCTTTATTAACCAGCTTTCCCACATTCTAGTTTTCCTTCCATGATGCACATGGAGTCCCTCGGAAGGCTGGATCCCACTCCCACTGTGTGGATGTAGCAGCTGAGGTCTCAAGAAGTTAAAGGACTTCTAGAAAAATTCCTCTCTGAGTTACTACAAAACCAGAGCTCTCACTGCTCATTCGTCTATGCCACACAGACTTAATTTGTAATCTCAGACTGTTCACTGCTGGGAGCTCAGGTTGCCTAATGGGTTAAGAGTTGCACTGCCAACCCAAAGGCTGCTTGTTAGATTCCACCAGTTGCTCCTTGGGAGAAAGATAAGCAACTTCTTCTCGTGCTATTTATAGCCTCTGAAAACCTGCAGCAGGGTCAGGTGTAAGCTGATGCCACTGTAATGATGTTATTATTGAGGCTAGTTTTCAGGTACTCCACCAAGGGGCAATACTATGAGCTCATTCTCCAGGTTCCTGAGGAACAGTGGGCTGGAATTTGAATTGAGGGTCCTGGGGCCATTGTTTGGTGGGCTGTTTCAATGGACTTTTTAGCTGGAATTGTAAAAGATGCCACACCTGGACTGTGGGTGCCATTGCCTTTCTACTTGTCCCAGGGAAAGAACAGAAGAGCACAATGTCCTGAGGCTGAGGCAGAGGGAGGCCAAAAAGGCTCAAGGGATGGAAGAGAAGGAGTCCTGAGGTGGGTGTGGGCTGCCCCTGGGGATGTGTCTTCACCTGAGCATCCTGGAAACTGGCCCGGACTAAAGGGAAAGGATGGAAGCCCTGGGGGAGCAGTGTCCAAGGGCGGGAGCTCCTCTCTGAGGTTGAGCTTTTCCTCCTGGGTAACCCAGGATTTTCTGTGAGGGCATAGACCATGGCTGGCCCCCTTCTGCTCACCCAGGGAGGTGCCCGCCCCAGATCAGCCCCTGGGGGACCAAAAGCAAAACAGTGGTAGCTTTTCCCACGTCCACCCACACTCTTTGCTCCTCCCATTTATGATACAGCTATAGATCTCTACGCCTCAGGACCAAAAAAGGTAAGAAAGTAATACAAATCTCAGAACATCCCCTGAGCAACAGTACCTTGGCTCCTGGAATCCCTGGCTCACCCTGTGTGGATTTGAAAAAAACAAAGAATCAGATAAAGAAGAGAAAGAATAATTAGAATGTGCATAGGCATATACACACATGAGAGGTACGGTATACATATATGAAAACAGAAGTTTCTACACATTGTAGGCATACAGATATGTGTAGATAGGCACAGTTATTCATTGAAGACTACAGATACTCCTCAGGCATAACCTTTCTGAGACTGGTTTTCTAGATTAAAAACTTTAGAATCATAGGAGACAGCTCAGTCAACTGGCACAGTATAGTTCATAGAGTTCATGGTCCACATCCTTAGTGAAATAGGTAGTGTCTGAGAGGTTAAAAGCTTGTAAGCATCTGTCTAGATACAGCTGTAGATCTCTACTCCCCAGGAGCAAAAGGGTAAGAACATAGCAGAGTCTTAGAGAAGAAACAAGCCTACAGGCTGATAGCTTACATGGTCCACGACCTCACTGACTTGAAATCAGAAGCACTAGATAGTGACCAGGTATCATCACTGATGAATCTGACTGTAGGGCACTCTGGTGGCTTCACTAAAGAATTGCATTGCCAACTCAAAGGCACATAGTTTGAATCCACCAGCAGATCTGTGGGAGAAAGACGGGCAATCTATTCCTGTGTGATTTACTGTCTGAAAACCTGAGGCAGGGTAGCGATGAGTTGGTTGCAACTCAATGGCAACAAACAACAACAACAATCTGACTGAAGTCCCAATAGTTCATACCAGACAGAATGGGAGTAGAAATGTAGAACAAGACTCAAGTTTTCAGAAAAGGTCACATTAGCTGGACCACTTGAAACCAGAGAACTTCCAGAGACCATCACCTTAATTATTTTTTAAATCTTATACCAAAATGATCCCCTGAGATCACATTTTAGCAAAAAGCAGATTGACAGAAAATAAAGGAGGTTCCTCACGAGGGTGTACTGAAAAGTCATTGGTTCGACCCTAACCCACAGGTGATTTACTCTAAAGTGAAGATGTGAAGATATGGGCTATGGATATGGAACAGAATACAGGGCAAGTCAATGTTGACATACGAAAAAGGCTCAGTTTGTGTGGAAATCAGCAAATGAGAACCTCATCTGTTATGTATATGGTCACTCAAAACACAATACAATTTAAAAAGAGAATAAGGAGCATGAGAAGACAAAGAGAGAGAGAGAAAGAGAGAGAGAGGAAGAGAAGTGACAGAGAGAGGATGAGACGAGGCAAAGGTGCTACAGTGAGGTGAAGCCCCAGCCTCCAGCCAGGGGAGACCTCCGGGGCTGCTGACCCTTGGCGGTTCACACGCACCAAGGGCTTTTGCTCTCCAGAAAGCTCTTAGTGTAACCTAGATCCACACTGGGCCGGGAGAAGAGAAAGCCAATGCCACTTATCTTTCCCTCCTAAACCAAAGCCTCTTTCCGGAGGCTGGGACCAGGCTGGTCCAACACTGTACCTCTGACAGCACTTGGCAGCCGGCAGGCAAATTTACAGGATGAATCCAAGGGAACGGCTAATGCGAGTGAGGATCCTTGGCCTTTGTTGTTGCCTTTGCTGCCAGGCAAAGGGAGGGCCTCGTTCTTCCCTTAAAGGGGTGTGGAGTGTGCTTCACCCCAGGAGGTGGAGAGGACCGGTGGGCATTTGGTTTGGGCAGTTTCCTCCTGTAAGTGAATCTTATGCTTTTGGGGTATCCCCAGACAACCACTGGGCACAGAGCGTCCTCTCTGAAGGCTTGGGAACATGGAGCTGCCAAGGTCTTGATGCTTGTGGGCAGCAGGCTGGTGAGCTCTTTAGCTGAGGCTGGTCAACACCACACAACTAAACAGTTACACACCTACTGGTGATCAAGTCTGTGCCCCCAGCCTCGGTGCTGCTTTAAGAACAGTGTTTCTGGATCCTGACTGTCCCCAAATCCGTTCAGGGGTCACCCTGAAGAGTCTCTGTCCTCACTGTTCCCTCCCCACCAAGCCTGCCCCATGGGGAATAATAGTGGTCAACTGACCTTCATGCCGGCCACAGCGATCCCAGGAGCCCCCTGGTAGAGAGAAAAGGCATATTGAGGCTCTATGCAGTCAGGGAAAACGTGGAGAAGATGCTAGCCTGACTGTGTAGGACTCCCCACTACTGACTGAGCCCCCAAACCCACACAGGGGAGTGGAGAGGCAGAGCTCATAATAAAGAATGCACACTAAAAGCGAAGCTGTGCTTCTCAGGGTTTTCCACTCAGACCTTTAGCTCCCAAGGTGGGCTCAGATTGGAGGGTCCACAGGTGGTAGAAATGGAGGTTTCCTTGGGGCATAACAGGGGGATTTCACGGGATATGAGAGAAGGGGGAGAGGGGAGGTAGGGGGATATAGGAGAGCCATGTGGAGGGGGCATTAATAGTTAGTAGAGAGCAAAGGGACAGTTATATCAAACATGAAGGACCCCCGAATATGCAGGTGGGCTGTCCTCTCCACTCTCACCCTCATGGACTGGGGAATGCCTAGGGTGAACCTCATTTTCATATCAGCTTAAGACCATGTACTATGAGGTAGATAGATTGTCCAGAGCAATGCATAGAAGACCCCATGTGGAGACAGATGCCCCTACTCCACATATGGGCCTTAGAACTGAAGCCAGAGCTGGGTTCACCCGATCCCGAAAGGCCCAGGGAGACACCCAACCACAACGTGGTGTGAGGGGGAGGGTTCATGGGCCACATGTGGATGTGAAGTGACAGCCTGTCTGTCAGTCAGAAGGTCAGGAGTTTGGGGAGAGACCTGGGCGAGGGGCTGCTCAGGGTTGGGGGACAGGTACCTTGGCTCCGTGTTTGCCCGGCATTCCTGGCATGCCCCGCTCTCCCTGGAGGAATAGAGAAGAAAGCTCTGAGAAGGTCTGCAGATTGAATGGCCAAGCCTGTGAACCTCTGACGCATGGTCGACTAGGATATCAGATATCACTAGGAGAACGGCTTCTCGAGAACTCGGGAGGGCCATCCAAGGGTCCAGATTAGCAGTGGGGCCCCTGCCTGCTCTCATAGGGTGCCAATACTCCCTGGCAGCCATGGTGTGTGGTGTCCCTCAGAGGCCTAAGTCACAGTCAGTGGGCAGGAAAGGCCAGTGAGCACCCACTGAGACTAGAGGCCAGCGAGGCGGGGACCTGCCTGTCAGTGGCTGGCCCAGGACTGCGCTGGGGGCATTGCAGCAGTGACCTGCTTGGCTGCAGGGTCAGAGGCAGATAAGCTCCCGCCCCATCTTTCCTCCAGTTAGTTGGGGTGGTACCTGCTGGATGAGCCCCACAGGGGTTCCCTGCTGCTCTCTTCCGGACTATTCGTTCCCCCAGCTGACTCTTCCCAGGGTACGAGGCCTTGAACCCAGGAGGCCAGAGAGTCAACCTGTGCTCTGGATGGGGCACAGCTGGAGAACATAAGCCTGCAGGTCTCGGCACCATAACCTGACTTGTTCATCTTGGTGCCCCAGGAACTGTCCCTTCTGGGAATGGATGGATTCTGCTCCATCATGTTGTACTGTCTGATTTCCATCGTTAACCTGTATTTCCCCCATGAAAATGCCATTTGCAGGGACAAGGAGATCAAGAAGAAGGTAATTTCAGGATGGAGATGAGAGGTGACAGTCAGTGACAAATGAGGGGGCTGAGAGCAGGTGAGTCAAGATACAACTTTGTTGAGTAGAGGAGCTCAGCGGAACCGAGTGGGCAACCCTGCATCCACTGGTCTACATGGAGTCAGGGGGCCGGGTACTGTAAGATAAGGGGTGGCTGGCAGCCTGCTGCCCTTCTGACTCCTGTGGGCCAGCTCTGTGCAAAGGCCTGGGTGGACTGGCTCCCACTCAGCTCTCCCCTGGTCCACAGAGCTGTGGCCACAGCCCTCACTTCCATCCCTAAGGCTGAAGGGCAGAGGGGGACCACCCTGGTCCAGCCTCTGTCTCTTCAGCTGTCCACTGCTTCCCTTCTCACCCACCTCACCTCAGGAAGGCCTGGACCACTCTTGTCTCTATGGCCAGAGCGGCCTTGGGCTCTCCTGTCCATGTTCTGCCCTCCACCTCGACATCCAGGTTCTCCCTCGGCTATAGAGAACCTTACCTGAGTAAAGTACTCCCATCAACATCACCCGCTCCCTTGGAGAAGAGACCAGCTCCTGAGCTCAGCCCTCTGCTCCACCTTTTCCAGCCTCCTCACCTGACAGCCAGGCACCATTCAGTGTTCTTGAAAACACCATCCCTTTCCATGACCGCATGCCTTCATGCTATTCCATCAGCACCCAATCCTATTTCTTGTTTGGGGTCCTGGTCAAACACCACCTCCCAAGTGGAGGCCCTGGCTATCCCTCTGTGAAGGTTATGTTCGTGTGTCAGCTCATCTGGCTATGATTCCCAGTGGCTTGGTCAAGCCCTGGACTAGCTGCCGTCTCATAATGCAGCATAATAGCCTTCCATAATGGGCTCTGATGGAATCGATCCATGAGATGAAAGGCACGTTTCCTCAGTAAATGATCTGCCTCCAAACAATATTTTGGTAGAATTCATTCTTTCTTTGTACTCTGCACTCTTTGCTCGGGCTGAATTCTGATTCTGTCTTTCTCTTTTTTTTTTGAGATGTGTCTCTTCCAGGCAACATATTGATGGGCTTTGTTGTTTTTTTTTATCTATTCTGCTACTCTTTTTCTCTTGATTGGCACGTCTATTTACATCAAGTATGATTATTGTCAGTCCAGGTTTTACTGTTGACATCTTGCTGTGCTTCTTCTTCTGTTGTTCTGGTTACTATGGCTCATCCAATCTTCTTCAGCGCCTCCGTGTGAAGGACTTTACTTAAAATTTCTTGTCGTTTTGGCCTTGTTTTCACTAATTCCTTAAGTTCCTTCTTTTCTGCAAAGGATTTAAGTTCTTCTTCATATTTGATAGAGAGCTCTGCCTGAATTCTGAATCTCGGGATGTGAGATTTCAGTGATATGAGTCTACAGTCTGTCAACTGACTTACTACAAGTAAATGTCTTTTCACATTGTTATCGTATACCCTTGAGTCAGAACTGACTTCTAAATGACCCTCCAGCAGATATTCAGAGGCAGTAAAATGGCACAGGAGGAGATGGCCCGCTTCTCCCAAAGAGCAACTGGTGGATTTGAACTGCATGCCTTTAGCTGGCAGCACGACTCCTTAACGCTAAGCCACCAGAGCTCCCTTTCAATGTGTAAATACTGCCAGTATAACTGGCTTTATGATGCTAGAGAACGCTGAGACACTCGCCTAATTCCATGCTTTTCTTTACTAGCACAGGGGTCCCTGGTTCTCTGCTCTTGAAGTCAGCACGCGTGAACTCATGTGTGATGGCCTTGTCTCCATCCTGTTGGGGCCAGGCCTTTTAATGCTGCAAAAAGCCCAGAATCTTAAGCACAAACTCTGGGAAAGCAGTTTCCCTTTACTTTGATCCTCCACACTGATCCACGGACTGTGCAAAGAGGAAACAAATCTGTCTTGGAGGAAATACACCCAGGCTGCTCTTCTGAGACAAGGATGGCGAAACTTCATCTCACATACTTTGGACTTGTTAAAAGACATCATACCGGGAAAGGCCACAGAAAGGTAAAGAGAACCTCAACTGGATGGACTGACACAGTGGGCTTGAGCATAATGGAGACTGTGGGGATGATGCAGGATAGGGCAAGGTTCAGATCTGTTGCTCATTGGGTTGTGATGAGTTGTAGTCAACTCGATCGCATCTACCAACACCAACAGTGACCCCTGAGCCCCAGGCTAGACTCAGGGAGTGTCCACTGTAGGCAAGCAGGAGCTGCAGGCCTGCACCAGCCTTTGCGTTCTGAGGAAAGCCTCTGAGAAAGAACAGAGAGAGGCAGGGTTGCTGAGGGTACTGGCACTGGGCTAAGTTTTGGACATCCTTCCTTCAATCTCCGGGAATCCTCTCCCAAATGAGAGAAGGGGTTATCCTATTTCACAGGTGAGCTACCAGTTGTTCAGAGAGGCTGGTGTGATTGTCAAGATCATAAAGTTCTTAAGAAAGAGGCAGTGCAGGGATGTGAACACAGTTGATGGGCGGACAAGGTATAGGTTTTTCATGGGCATGATTAAGTGTCCTGGGATTCCCATTCTTCTCTATGTTAGCCTTACTTGTTATGAGCCACATAGTTAAATAAATGCCTTTGCATAGGCAAACAAAGTCATTCTTCTGGTATTCTTACAGCCAGCCAGCTAGGTCTCCTTCAGATCATGGTCTTTCCAATCACTTGTTATGCATCTGAGAGCTGGACAATGAATAAGGATGGCAGGAGAGGTATTTATGATGCCTTTGAGCTGTGATGTTGGAGGAGAGCACTGAATATTCCATGGACAGTCAAAAGAATAAACAAGTATGTCTTGGGGAAAGTGAGGCCAGAGTGCTCCTTGGAGGCAAAGATGATAGAGCTTCATGCATGTTGCTAGGAGAGGCTTTTCCTTGGAGAGGGACACCATGCTTGGAAGGGCAGAGGGTTAGTGAAAGAGAGGAAGACCCTCAGCCAGACGGATTGTCACAGTGACCGCTGCAATGGGCTCAAGTGTGTCAGCAAGTGTGAGGATGGCACAGGAAAGGACTGTTGTTCATAGCGTCACACTCAGCTCAACGCGTTTACCAACAACAACGGGTGGGCAAAACCCAAGTTTCCACTTCTCTTGGCCTATTCCAGCTATGCAATTACTTGCTATGCATCAGAGAGCTAGACAATGGCTAAGGATGACAGAACAATTGATACCTTGGGGTTGTGGAGCTAGAGAAGCATACTGAACATGGACCAACAAGAGAACAAACTGGTCTGTTTTGGAAAAGGTGAAACCACCTTGCTCTCTGAAAGTAAGGATTTTGAAGCTCTGTCTCACATACTTGGGGCATGTTGCCAGGACGACCAGTCCTTGGAGAAGGACATCATGTTGGGAAGGGTGGAAGAACAACGTAGGAGAGAAAGATCCTGGATGAGATGGATCGACAACGTGACTGGGGTAATGGAGATGTATTGAAGATGGTGAGATTGATTCAGGACAGAAGAGTTCAGAGTTATTATACATAGGGTTGCTATGAGTCACAGGTGACTAGGTGGCACATATCAATAACCCCAATCACCAGACAGGTGAATGTTCTCCAATCACTTTCAGTGAACATTTTCTGGGTGGTGAGGACTGGGCCCTGTTTCATTCTGTGTGAGGTAGCTCTGCTTAGAGCTTAGCCCACAAACACAGGAACCCCAGGAAAGAGGTCACACACTGCTTATAAGCGCATGTCTGCTCTGTGACCAGCAGAGGGCACCACAGGACCTCATTTGAACTCTGGCAACTGTAGCTGTGACATCTCAAATGGCCTTAAAGCCTGGAGCTGTCCAAGAGAACCCCAAAGGCCCCTCTATGAAGACAGGCAAGGCCTGTGATGCTCTTTCCTTTGAAGGATCAGTGAGGGGTCCCTAGCAGCCTGCCAGCCAGGCTAACTCAGGCTACATTCTCCCACAAAGCCTCTGAGGGGGTCAGCGGGGCTGAAAGCCCACAAGTCCCTGACTTTGTTCTCAATGTTAGGCTTGCTCTTCTTCCTTTACCTCAGTTTCCCCTCAATGCCCCTGGCTGACCTTTTCCACCTCCATGTTAGGGAGCTAGACCAAGTCAAAGCGACAGCCTATGTGGCCCCAGACAAGTCATGTGTCCTCTCTGGTTCTTCTCAAGAAGAGGACGTTAGATTAGATCTCTCTTGCCCCTTGTGCCCCTCAAGCTCTCTCCACCCCCACCTCCAGCCCTGACTCACTCCCTGCACAGCTCTTGTGGGAAGTGGGGACAAAAGCTGGTGGGTGGCACTCAGGTCTATAGTGGCT